GTATAGGTAAGGCAGGGTATCAGTGTGGGTATAACCCCAATGGTGATTCCATAGTGCATGGTGGTTGAGCACATCAGCGACGGATTCATGAGGACGAGTATAAGTGGGACTGTCCAAATGGGTAGAGAGGTGAAACAAATACCWATTCTTGCAACAAATTGCCGAATTGTGGGATGATTTGTCCACAGGAACAATGGCAAAGTGTTGTTGCAGATGGCGTAAGGAGGCATGTGCACAACGAAGTGAATGTTGTTGGCTCACATGATTGGAAGACGAAGTCGCATTGGATTGACAATGCCCAAGGATTGCAGAACGCCAGCTGTGCAATTTCTGAGAAAGGGACGAGAAAGAAGCAGATCGAGAGTGTCTAGCAAATGTATTCTTGTAACTGGCAATGTACTCATCGAGTCYGATCGCCAGTGCTTGGAGCACATCAGCAGTCTCCCCGTTCAAACGATATTTAGAACCTTCTTGAAAAAGCTTGCGAAGGTTATCGTCTGAGATGATATTGTAATCAACAAAGACAACATGACCGTCCACAAGATTTGAACAATGCGGAAAGGCCTTGTAGCATTCGCAGTTCACGGAGTCTGGTAAGGTCATGTCAGGAGCAACACTCAATGCCACATCAGTAAAGTTGGAAAATTGGACACGTGTGGGTGGCATCAACTTGTCACATACACGAACATGTGCGGCCGCTTGCGGGTCAGGGTGCAATGCAGCTACTTCTGGCAACTGCAACACATGGCGCAAGTTCGTGGCACGAACTACCTCATGCACATGTACGACCTTAATATGGTCAGTAAACGGGTCACGTGGTTGTGCTGTGTAACGTTGGCGGGTATGCTGGGATTTTCGGATGAGGCATTCGAGTTCTCGAATGTCTGCTGTCATGTCCGCATTGGAAACATTGTTATAGAGCCATTGCAAAAGTCGTGCCCGCCACGCTGGTTGTGCCCGCTCAATGTCAGCCTTGACACGACACCAGTTACCCGAAGCAGCTTCATGAAGAAGGCGATGGAGTGAGGTACGAAGGAGGCAGGAGAGTTGTTAAGGAAAGGGGTGAGAACAACATAAAAAGAAAGATGTAGGAGATAAGAGAAAGAATAGATTGTCTTCCACAAAAAAAGTGAGTGCCTGGTTGTACAGGCCCGATGCTCGCCGCTCAATCTGCAAGAGCAGAGGGCTAGCAACATATATATATATATCGTCACAAACAGAACTGCCCGGTAAACCGTAGGCAGAGAGAGAGAAGAGGACAACAAACGAGGGGCTGTGACATATATATATACACAATCTTTTGTTTGATCTTACTAGACGCTGCAAAGAACCAATCAATGAAAACACAAATTAAAAATTTTCCATGGTGGAAAAAAAAAAAATAAAAAAATCTGGATACCTGATCTGATTTCCTTCACGGGTTATGCGGCAAGAGACTCAAAGCAGAACCCGCAGAGGAAATCGGTTCAAGTAACCGCTTTTTTATTTTATTTTTTTTAAGAATAGCTCCAGTCTTATGTACAACAGGAAGACGAACACTCCGAAGGCACTGTGCGTTTAAAATTTTCATGATTTTATTCTAATTTCTAACCACAAATCTCAAGAATGCCCACAGCCGCTACTTGGTGTCTTTCGCATTCCTAAGACGTTTTTTTTTTTTTTTTTTTTTTTTTGAAAGTCCAGATCGTAGTAGAGGCTGGATGCTAGGACTCGGGAGGTGCCCGTCGTTGTGCTCAACCAGTGGGTAAATCAAATGGCTTGTGACAGCCCCAAGGACAGTTCCCACCTGTATCACATCTAGCAGACTCTATGGGTGTCTACCACCCTTCTACTATCAATACGGCAACCCACCCTCCCGTGCCTAAGATGGGACCCCTACCCAGAGACCCTTCCCCAGATTCACGCCCCAATCAACCCCCTCAATGGGAACGCAGACAGGTACCCGCCCGGATGAAGCCCAGCCTGCAAGCACCATAAGATAGACATGAGGCCCGCCCTTGGCAATCGTATATACCGAACACCCAACCCCTACCCCTACTCACGGGGGGTCTAGAGAGCAGGGCCCGACCGGGACCAGAATCGTACACCGTAAGTATGGACTCTCGCTGATGTACCATGAGGTCGGCAAACTACCATGGTACCCAGTCACACCCATGACCCACCAACAGAGCAGTGCACACGACCGACTCGGAGACGGTGCACACAGACGGGCCCACAATCTCTACACTAATTCCTACCCCTAGCCTAGACCCAAGACCCCTGCCCACCCTAACTCCTCTACCCCGCCCATGGTGAGCACACGACACATGACCCAACGATCATCGCACCACACACCACACACAACCCACACACACACACACACACACACACACACACACACACACACAGAGCACAGAGAGAGAGAGAGAGAGCACACACACACAGAGTCGTCAGACCACCCCTAGGCTAAGCACTCAAACAGCCGTTGACCAGCGTTGACCGGAGGCCGTCGACCAGCGTTGACCGACGCGCGCCCCCCAAGGCCTGATAGCAGCAGACTACTACGACCATCGACTAACCCCTTGGGTGGTGCGCAGGCCGTGTCTGTAAATATAAATAGTACCATGCATCAGGCCCTTCAGACTTCCTTTTCTTCTTTTTTTCCCTTTTGTGAGGCTGGCCCAGCAGCTGCCACAAAGGCGGGCTCAACGAAATGCCAGAAAAAGAAAAAAGAGAAAAAAAATTGAAAACATGACAAGGAGTTTACCACCATCGTACATCAAACACTTACTTAAGCTGCACCCAATGCACAAACTCAAATATGAAACAACCCCCCTCTCCTCTCCTCTCTCTCTCTCTCTCTCTCTCTCTCTCTCTCTCTCTCTCTCTCTCTCTCTCTCTCT